GGTTTAAACACCTTACGCCTCAAGCGGTTCGCTTCTCTTGAGCCTCTGCTAACCTGCAAAACGTCGAGAAGGGATCCCAGTGGAAAACTCTCTGACGCTCAAGTCAGAACTCGCTCAACTGTATACTTTAATACTGTAAGAAATAAGGCATAGAATGTGTGTCGTAATAAGAGAGAACATGCCGTCCTTATATAGGACTTAATACCTTGGGGCGAATAGAGTCCTTAAGGGAAGAGATCCAACTGAATTTTACTTCCCTAACTTACTACGTCTCTATCTTGATAAAAGTCATTGAGCGAGTGATTCATTCCTTCTAACTTGGATTCTTCCCACCTTTTACTGTTTTAGCTCATGGATCCTTAGGTCGTTTACCCCACCTACTGACCTGTCTGTCGTGGCCTTTTCGAGGACGTTCTTGACCTTTTCCTGAGGTCTAAATCAACCTCGTCGTTATATTTAACCTGCTCTCAGACCACCCGACCTCGATATCTCGAGGTCGGTTACTTTGTCGGGCTCCTGGAGGCCGGTACCTCCAAGCCATGTCTGTTCTGTTAGGTCGGCACCTTAAGCCCATGGTCGAGCATCTTATCTCTGTTCTCACGGGAGTTCTTCTAGATTGGCCTTAGCTGAGCTATTCTCTCTGACTGGAATCACCGAGCTACTTCTGAGTGCTACATCACTATTTATTTCGTTTTTTGTATAATTATTATTTAATTTTAGAATTTGAAACGTATAAATTTTACGAGAGTGCATTCAACGTTGTTAGAACACAAATAAACAACTAGAATAGCGGAAGCAATAAAACGAAGATTTAAAAAACTCTTCAGGAAATCGTCCCACTTCCCCTCAGAGCTCTTTTATTGATAACTCGATTGTGCACATGCGTATAGTTTTGGAATTACAGCAACTAGAACTCCCTTCTAACCTAACCAACAACTATACTCGAATCTACCAACTACTTATCCGGCCACGTCTCGTGGACTTTAAATAACACTTAATCCCTAAGTGCTGATCACAATAATGTTTGAAAAACAAAGAAAAGAAAACAAAATAACTTCAGTTCTTCAATATGTAAGAACACCGAAAACTGAACTGAGAACTAAAATAAAAGAAGACTTGAAGCTCGAATAGTATATGAATAATAATGATCTCAGCAGCCTTGATTCGATCTTCAAGTAGGGTATATATACAACTCCTTAGGCTTGGAGTCTTCTCCAAGTTCTTTCCTTCTTTCACGATCTCCTTTGATCTTCTTCCCAAAAATAGTGTTGTAACATGGAAAGTAAATCTTCCTTGATTGAATGTGATTTGGAGATCTTCAGAATTGAGTTTCCAATGGAAATCTCGTGGTTCCAGACTCGTGTAAGAACACAACTTTCCTAAAATAGCCGATCTTCCAAATCTTCAAAGATCGTGTCGTGAATCTTTCCAAATCCTCCTTAGATCTTCTAGATAACGTCCAGAATTCCTTATGCACGAATTGCTCATCCTATCATAGTCCTTGCCACCTATTCCTTGTCCTACAAGATAGAGAAAATTAATTATGGCATAGAATCAAGCTCATTAATGCATGTGGCATATATGGTAAGTAAATTTATAAGATATATATTATGTAATCCTTCTCCTAAAGGTTTAGGATTCCATAATACATATTATAATAAATATATAACATATATTATTAATAATAAATAATAGAAACTTAATTAATTAACAAGTAAATAAATAGAAAACTTTCCTTTATTTTATTTTGCTTGCCTTACAAGAAAATCTTCTAGAAAACACTTAGGTTTTTCGGATGATGCCAAACCAATATTCTTACAGAATTAAAATAAATTTATAATTTATTTGTAGATGTATTTGGTTTGGTGGTTGAAATTGGATCCGTCCAAATGAAAGAAGTTGATGACGTCCAACACAAATGATTGTGTTTACTCTCATGGACCTAGAGTAAACACTTAATTTATTTACTTTTATTATATTTTTTTGTACAAATCGTATTAATCATTTATTTGAACAATTATTTATAAGGAACAAGATTGACTGCACACTTTGGCGATTACATTGATTGAATTTCGAAAATTGAAAGTGAATATGAAAATGAGCGTCAATGATTCTTCATCTTTGGCGAACTAAGTCATGTGGAGGAATTTTGTTAATATATCAAATCATATATATATTGTCACTAATCACAATGGCGTGAAAATATTAGTTTGAGGGGATGATGATTTGCCCTATAAGAAAAACAAAAAAGGTTACAATGTTCTTATTATTCTACTTTGATTAATTTTTTTTTGTTCATGTAAATGTAAAAAAGACTTAGCAAATAGCCTTAAAAATGTCCACCTCGTGTATAGCACCGGATCCGAACTAGTAGATATAGATTGGAAGTAGGATTATTTCATGGTTAAAGACAATCCAAAGTCATAATAGGATAAGATATTTCACTATAAGAAAATTGGTAATTGCTAGGGGTGGGCAGAAAAACCGAATTTCCCGGTACCGAATTGGACTGAAATGATCCCATTCCGAAAAATAAAATTCTAAAAGGTTTTTTTATTTTTGTTCCGTTCCCAGTCCCGAACCGTTTTAAACCATGTCGGATCGGTTTTAAATATTTTTGTCACGAATCGT